CGTTTTCCTAAAACACTGCTGAAGAAATAAATAATATTAAACCTAAAGGTAACAAAAACATAATACTCATCACTTCCTAATTATTTTTCTGTATTTCATTATTATCCATGCTCTTAAAGCTTGAATGTATCCATCTAGTAAAAATACTATATAATGTATTACAATAGTACGCAGCTTATTCATTTATTTACTATCTTTTTTTTTTTTCGAGACGGAGTTTCACTCTTGTTACCCAGGCTGGAGTGCAATGGCGCGATCTCGGCTCACTGCAACCTCCGCCTCCTGGGTTCAGGCAATTCTCCTGCCTCAGCCTCCGGAGTAGCTGGGATTACAGGCGTGAGCCACCATGCCCAGCTAATTTTTTGTATTTTTAGTAGAGACGGGGTTTCACCATGTTGACCGGGATGGTCTCGATCTCTTGACCTCATGATCCACCCGCCTCGGCCTCCCAAAGTGCTGGGATTACATGCTTGAGCCACTGCGCCCGGCCAAGTCTGGCTTATTAGGAAAGACTTAGTGGTAACATTTTCTGCCCATATGAACTCTCCTGGAGGTAATACTTTCTCTTGCTAGAAAGTTTGAGTGAGTGTGAACAAAGAAAACCTCTGGCCTGGAGAGACCAGGCCCGTGTGAGACAGCCAACGACAAAATCCTCTCTGTTAAAGTCTAATTTCCTCAGCTCACTTGTCACACCTCGCCTAATGGCTTTGCTGCTTATACTCTCAAAAGCTCCCTGATACAGCTGTGGTGTTCTGAATTAACAAGGCGTGAGGGAATTCTAGCTGTAAGACTTTCTGGTAAACTTTTTCACATGCCTCAGACCTCGGAAACTGGCCCAGTTCTAATGATTAGGAAAATATCGATTAGGAAAACATTGATTAGGAAAATATCGATTAGAATTCTATCGATTAGAACACTATCTTTTAGAACAACGATTCTCAGATTTTGGTGTGCCTAAGAAACACTCTGGGGAGCTTGCTAAAAATGTCAATTTCCAGACTCATCTCCAGAAAGTCTAATTTTGTTTGCCTGGATTGGGGCTCAGGTGTCTGCATTTTAGAACACATTTCCCCCAGGGAATTCTAGTGCAACTTGGACAGGAACCAGAGGGTGAGAACACTCACTTACACTGAAGCATGTTTGGTGGTGGGTGTGGTGTTTGGGGTTCATTCCTGCTGCAGATGGTCTAGAAGACCCATAAAAAAGATTGCAGTTCTGCCTTTTAAGCAGGTTGGGGCCAGGCACAGTGGCTCATGCCTGTAATCCCAGCACTTAGGGAGGCTTAGGTGGGTGATTGCTTGAACCCAGGAGCTCAGGCCGTGTCCTCTTGGGCAACATGGTGAAACCCTGTCTCTACAAAAAAATAGCTGGGTGTGTTGGTGTGCACCTGTAGTCCCAGCCACTTGGAAGACTGAGGTGGGAAGATAGCTGGAGCCCGAAAGGTCGAGGCTGCAGTGAGCTGTAATCACGCCATCGCATACTCCAGCCTGAGTGACAGAGCAAGACTCTGTCAAAAAAAAAACAAAAAACAGTAAAGAAGGTTGGGTGGCCTTGAGGTCTGACCTAAATCTAAGCCCTAGATAAAGGTGGAGTTTCAAGTTGCCCGAAGCACTACTAGACTTTTTGGAAAAATTGCAGCCAGCAGAGTTCTTGGGCCAGAACTGCATTTACGCCTTACAAATTTTGATAATAACTTGACTAATCATCTGAGTGAGTACAACATTTTGGTGTGACCGTTTTTGGGGCACTGTCCTCTGCGTCTTATGCTCTGTGAGCCCCATCCTGGGATATGGTCTCAGATCCTGGATGTTGATATGTTTAATGACATATAGAGCTATATTAAGGAAAAGTATTATCTACTCTGGCACACTGTTACAAGGATTAAATGGGATAATACAGAAAACAACTAGCCGAGCATCTGGCATATAATAGGTGCTTAGGAAGGTGAGGGATCTGCCTGTAACATCTATCGCCCTAAGGGTCTCCTCAGTAAATCTGTGAATCTGGTTCACAGAGGCTGCGCCCTCCTTTTCTCTCACGGTTCTATAAACATCCCTCTTCAAGCTAGAAGGCCTTTGAAAAGGACAGACTGGAGAAGCTTGCTCTTTGTTCAATAGTGTATGAGGAAGAGGTTGCTCAATAAGTTGTTTTATTCTTTCTTCTATATAATCCTTTTTAAATCTCCACTTTTCCTTCTCTCTTTTTTTTTTTTTTTGAGATGGAGTCCCACTCTGTTGCAGACTGGAGTGCAGTGGCTTGGATCTTGGCTCACTGCAACCTCCGCCTCCCAGGTTCAAGCGATTCCCTGCCTCAGCCTCCTGAGTAGCTGGGACTACAGGCACACACCACTACTCCCAGGTAGTTTTCTGTATTTTAGTACAGATGGGGTTTCACCATGTTGGCCAGGATGGTCTCGATCTCCTGACTTCGTGATCCACCCGCCTCGGCTTCCCAAAGTGCTGGGATTACAGGCTTGAGCCACCGCGCCCAGCCTCTTTTCTTCTCTAGCCTTTTCATCAGCCATTTTTCTCTCCCAATCTGTGCACGCGCGCATACACACACACACACACACACACACACACACACACACACACACCATACATTTTAAAGCCTCCCATGACCCAGAGGCGAAGGCCAAGTTTCCAATCTTTAAAGTCCATTCCTGGGGTGCTCTAGGCTACCTTGCTGCTCTTCTCCCATGGTCTCATATTTCTTTTTGTTGTTGTTGTTGTTATTTGGTCTTTATTTCATAATCATAAACTTAACTCTGCAATCCAGCTAGGCATGGAAGGGAACAAGGAAAACGTGGAACCCAAAGGGAACTGCAGCAAGAGCACAGATTCTAGGACACTGCGAGCAAATGGGGTGGAGGGTGCTCTCCTGAGCTACAGAAGGAATGGTCTGGTGGTTCAGGTAAAATACAAGTCAAACTGACTAAAGTTGTCCACAGTCGGCAGTGGTGATCTTCTTGCTGGTCTTGCCATTCCTGGACCCACAGCGCTCCATGGCCTCCACAATATTCATGCCTCTTTCACCTTGCCGGAGACCACATGCTTGCCATCCAATCACTCAGTCTTGACAGTCAGATGAAAAACTGGGAACCGTTTGTGTTGGGTCCAGCATTTGCCATGGATAAGATGCCGGGACCTGTGTGCTTTAGGATGAAGTTGTCATTATCAAATTTCTCCCTGTAGATGGACTTGCCACCAGTGCCATTATGGCGTGTGAAGTCACCACCCTGACACATAAACCCTGGAATAATTCTGTGAAAGCAGGAACGCTTATAACCAAATCCTTTCTCTCCAGGGCTCAGAGCACGAAAGTTTTCTGCTGTCTTTGGAAACTTGTCTGCAAACAGCTCGAAGGAGACATGGCCCAAGGGCTCACGTAGACGGCAATGTGGAAGAACACGGTGGGGTTGACCATGGCTGATACTACAAGGCTCCAGGCAGTGGCGGGGTCTGCAAAGCCTCATATTTCAATTTATTCCTTCTACTTGATTAAAGCTTAGAGCAGTTCCTTTCACCCACTTACCCTTTATATGTTTTAGGCCCTTTCCCAAGTTGTTGCACAAGAAGAAATCTTCATTTTCTACTTAAATTTTTTTTCTTTTTCTTGTTTTTAGAGATGGGGGTCTTGCTATGTTGACCAGGCTGGTCTCGAACTCCTGACCTCGTGATCCACCCGCCTCGGCCTCCCAAAGTGCTTGGAATACAGGCATGAGCCACCACACATGGCCGAAACTTTCATTTTCAACACACTCCCAGTCTCTCCCATCTTTCCTATTAGTTTTGCTAGCTAATTGTAGAGTTCTGACAGCTTTTCCTGGCCCTATGCTGAACATACGTAAAATTTCCTCAATTTTGTTCATGGCTCTGATGTATGACTCAAAAAATTACTTGCCATTCTTAACAATACCTTATTGTTTCTCTTCAGCGAATGTTCTTTCAACCAAAGCCTACTGAAATCTGACGATGTATCAAACACTGTACTAGACATTGTGGAGATAAAATGAATAAAGCACTATTTTTTATTTGTCAATTATACCTCAATAAGGCTCTTTTTGCCTAGGACCAGTTCATAGTCTGGAAAGCAAAGGCAGACATGTAAACATACATATTACAGTGCAGAGTGCTAAGTATCACAGCGTGATGTGAAGAAAAACTAATTTCTTCCGGGGGAGTTGATAAAAGGTGTCACAGGAAGTGACATTTCCGTTGGTCTTGAACTACAAGTAGGAGTTTGGCAACCAGAGGACAGGGGTGGGAATGAGGGTAGGGGTAAAACAGGGCATCTGAGGGAAGGGAATCCAGTGTGCAGAGGCTCTGAAATGACCGAGGAAGATTCTGACGTGTTCAGGAAAGTCTGCTGGGTTTGGTGTGGTTGGGTGGGTGGTGGAGTGATGGGTGGTGGTGGAGGGCCCAGTTGAAGCAGAAGGGTTGAATTTTATTCCAGAGGCAAGAAGAGAAAGAGAACATCGTTTACGCAGGGGAGGAAACGACCAAGTTTGTCTCTTACTTGTTCATTTCTTCACAGACCTCCGGGTTTTGGAGTCTGAGGTGCTCTGCTCGCTTAATCAGAAGAGCTCAGGCAGCCTCCGAGCTGAAACACCGCTTTCTTTTCAGGTCTAGAAACGGCATGTGTTCAGTACCAGGGCTACCCAGTCTGATCCCAGTGCCCACCTGTGCTAATGACGTTGGCCAAGGACGCCCATTTGCTACCCAGATCCTGCCCTTCAAATACTGTCTCTCTCTCTCTCTCCTCTCTCTGGCTAGGACTGGACATGTTCTGACAGCTCTTGTCTCTTTGAACCCCATTTTTTCATTCTGATAATCTTTTTCTTCAGTTATGCTGACCTTGTCTTTAAATACATTGCTAACGTTTTGGCTCATCCCAACCAAGTTTCAATCCCTCTGATAGACATCGCTGACAGCCACGCCCACCCGAGAAATTGCCGACACAGGAAGTTTGTCCGCAACAGGGCGCCGTACTGACGTAGTAATACGCAGGCGCAATCCCAGCTCCCGGCGGCGTGTTCCCCTTTCCGCGGGTTTCCGGTGTCCGGGCCGGTGAGAAACGCCGGCTCTTCACCTCTCAGCGCGGCTTAGCGCTTTGCTCCGGACGTTCGCTCCGCAGCCCTCCGGCTCCTGGGGTCGCTGCTACAGCCCGCGCGCCTCCACCAGCGGCAGACCCATGGCCGAGCGCGGGGAACTCGATCTGACCGGCGCCAAACAGAACACGGGAGTGTGGCTTGTCAAGGTAACGTTCGCTGCGCGCTCCTCCCAACACGAGTATAGTTTAAGTAACTTGAACCCATCCGGCTGCGTGCGCCTCTTAAAGTTCTTTTACGGCTGTCTCGTTAGAGCTTCACGTACTTTGAGAGGCAGGAGGCATTGCTGTATGTTTGCAGATGAGGAAATCCGTTTAGGCGCGCCAGTTACGAGTCTGAATCCACCTGGACTCGTCTCTTCTTCTCACGGCTTTCCTGGAGCCTCGTCCTGATGTCCCCGGTTTGGACGGTGCATTTTATCTAGGACCGAAGAATTCCTTGTGTCTTCTCTTGGTGAAACTGCTTTTAGCCATGAGCCTGTGTGGGGTAGTTGAATGTCTGTTTTCTGTACATTTTTCTCGGCGAGAAAGTAGAACCGGTCCATGCGTACCCTTAAAGTGTTGTGTTAGGTTGATGGTCCTTAATGGAGCTCCGAAAAGAGGCGAGACAGCTCTCAACTCGCAGGAGACGTCATTGGACTGGGATATTCTTTTTTTTTTTTTTTTTTTTTTTTTTTTTTTTTTGAGACAGAGTTTCACTCTTGTTACCCAGGCTGGCGTGCAATGGCGCGATCTCGGTTCACCGCAACCTCCGCCTCCTGGGTTCAAACAATTCTCCTGCCTCAGCCTCCTGAGTAGCTGGAATTACAGGCACGCGCCACCGTGCCCAGCTAATTTTTGTATTTTTAGTAGAGACGGGGTTTCACCATGTTGACCAGGATGGTCTCGATCTCTTGACCTCGTGATCCACCCGCCTCGGCCTCCCAAAGTGCTGGGATTATAGGCGTGAGCCACCGCGCCCGGCCTGGAATATTCTTTTAGAGCACAATTGGGTCTCGTGAAACTGACCATCAGTAAGTGTTTTACGTAAAGACAGCGATTTTGGTTAGCTCACAGTGGGCACTACTCGTGCTTCACTGTTTCATGTTGGGGAGTGTTGTCTCCTAGGGGAGGCTCATAATACTTAGGCATATTCGACATGTGATCGTGAAACTCATTGAAACTTAAAATGTAGGGACTTTTGGTTTCTTAATGCTTTCGCTTATTTTATCACATGGCTGAGTTCTCGTCAATTATATCTAAGCGGTCTTCCTTGTCGGTCTTCCTAAAAGAGCTCCCTTATGATCATTTGCTAACATGACATATCCATGTTACATTCCTCAAAGCACTTTTCACGGTGTAGAGTGATTTTGTGTTAATATGTGAAAAGTTGGTTACCTTCGTCTTTCCAACACAAAATTGCATTCCGTGAGAACAGGATCTTTGCCTGTTTACCCAGAATAGTGTTTGGCACATGGTAATTATTCAACAAACAGGTGATGAATAAATGCCTGACCTCTCACTCTTCAACCCTTGCCTTAGTCTGTGGCACTCATTTGACTTATTTCAAAGCTCAGTATGACTTAAAAGAATGGATTAAATAGGCCGGGCACGGTGGCTCAAGCCTGTAATCCCAGCAGTTTGGGAGGCCGAGGCGGGTGGATCACGAGGTCAAGAGATCGAGACCATCCTGGTCAACATGGTGAAACCCCGTCTCTACTAAAAAAAAAAATCAAAAAATTAGCTGGGCATGGTAGCGCGTGCCTGTAATCTCAGCTACTCAGGAGGCTGAGGCAGGAGAATTGCCTGAACCTAGGAGGTGGAGGTTGCGGTGAGCCGAGATCGCACCATTGCACTCCAGCCTGGGTAACAAGAGCGAAGCTCCGTCTCAAAAAAAAAAAAGAATGGATTAAATAGGCATTTCTCGCTCCAGCAGCATGTTAATTGGAGGAGAGTCACTAAGGAAGAGATGATCCTTGCAGACTGAAGGAAAAAGCTTGAAAACATAGTGTGACTGGAGATGGTGCCGTTGTCCTAGGAGCATGGTAAATGCTCAATGTTTGCCTTACATGATTTGGATGGGTAGACATGGTGTATACCATGGGGAGTGGAACAGAAATGCAAGACTCAAAATACGTAATCGTGGAAAACATGGCATGTTTTGGCATGTTGTGGAAAACAGACCCTAGAGCAGAAGATCTGTGTAAATAAAGGTTGGGCCCATATACTCAGACTGTCATGTCATGAAGTGGAAATGTTCTAACTTTAGTTTACAAGGAAGTAACAAACTTTTTGGAGGACTTGAGTGAGGTAGCGACGCCAGGTATTCAGAAAAAAAATGTTTGGCAGTGTGCAGTACGAATTAGAGAGGAGGGCAACCAGAGTCACAATTAGAAAATTATCACAGGATTGGGCTGGGCCTGGTGGCTCACGCCTATAATCCCAGCACTTTGGGAGGCTGAGGTGGGCAGATCACGAGGTCAGGAGTTTGAGACCAGCCTGGCTGATATGGTGAAACCTTGTCTCTACTAAAAATACAAAAATTAGCCAGACATAATGGCACATGCCTGTGGTCCTAGCTACTCGGGAGGCTGAGGCAGAAAAATCGCTTGAACCGCGGAGGTGAAGGTTGCAGTGAACCAAGATCGTGCCACTGCACTGTAGCTTGGGCGACAGAGAGATTCTGTCTCAAAAAAAAAAAAAAAAAAAATCACAGGATGCTAGGTACATGATAATGAAGCTTAGGAGTTAGGGAAACTTTGAGTAAAATTGTCAGGATTTGCTGACTCACTCAGAAAAAGAACTCGAGCAAAGTAATTATAATGTTTTGATTACTTTTTGTTTGCAGCCTCATTGCTTCTCATACCAATTTGGCATGCAGTATTTCTTCTTTTTCTAATCTTACCTATCAAAGAAGTGAAGAAACATGCAAATGCATCTTTTTAGGGTGTGAAGAGGGTGTGGTAGATCTTGTGCCCAAACAACCTTATCTCTGGAGGATGAGAATTACTAGCAAATACTTTTTTTTTTCCTTTTTAAGACAGGATCTTACTCTGTTTTCCAGGCTGGAATGCAGTGGTGCCATCACAGCTCACTGCAACCTCTGCCTCTGGGCTCAAGCGATCCTTCCACCTCAGCCTCCTGACTACCTGGGCTTACAGGTGCACACCACCACACCTGGCTAATTTTTTTTTGCTATGTTTTGTAGAGACGGGGTTTTGCCATGTTGCTCAGCTAGGCTGGTCTTTTTTTTTTTTTGAGACAGAGTCTCACTCTGTCGCCAGGTGCCAGGCTGGAGTGCAGTGGCACAATCTCAGCTCACTGCAACCTCCACCTCCTGCGTTCAAGCAGTTCTCCTGCCTCAGCCTCCTGAGTAGCTGGGACTACAGGCACATGCCACCACATCCAGCTAATTTTTGTATTTTTAGTAGAGACGGGGTTTCACCATGTTGGCCAGGATGGTCTTGATCTCTTGACCTCATGATCTGCCTGCCTCGGCCTCCCAAAGTGCTGGGATTACAGGCATGAGCCACTGAACTTGGCTAGTGAATACCTTTTGTTCTAAAATCTATTCATGTTACCCCTTTACTTGACAACATTTATCTGTGTTCTAAAGTAGTACTAATAGGCAATGGGGTTTGGTATACACACCTGTCAGATAGTTTGAACTTGCTACATTTGCACTGGGGTTAGCATTCAGTGTGATTTCCATGCCTGTATCTTCAGTGTACTTGAATTTTCATTTCTGAATTATAGGAATATATTATATGAAACAGTGCATCAAATTGTGTTAGTCTACTTCATTTTCAGCATGTGTGTGATATTAAAGTGTAACTTGAGCCGTGCGTGGTGGCTCATGCCTGCAATCCTAGCACTTTGGGAGGCTGAGGCAGGTGGATCACCTGAGGTCGGGAGTTAGAGACCAGCCTGGCCAACATGGTGAAACCCCATCTCTACTAAAAATACAAAAATTCGCTGGCCATAATTGTGGGCACCTGTAATCTCAGCAACTCGGGAGGATTGTTTGAACCCAGGAGGCAGAGGTTGCAGTGAGCTGAGATTGTGGCATTGAGCTACAGCCTAGGCAACAGAGCAAAAACTGTGTCTCAAAAAATAAAAATAGAAATGAAGTGTAACTCATTGCCTACAAAGTGTATCTTAATTCTCATCTAATCAGAATTTGAATTGAACTACATATTGATTTCAAGTTTTTTCTCTTTACATTAATATTTTCTGTTATAAATAATACTTTGTGCTTTGTGTTCTGATCTTTGTTGCTAAGTAATGTTTCTTCCTAGGATATCTCAAAAGTTTATAGGTCATCTTGTACATATTTAATTATATCACTAGACAGGTATAGAACTCTGAATACAGTAAGGACTTACATACAAGATCTCTGAGAGGTTTGAGCAGGAAAAAAGTTTATGCTTCGCTAGAACTGGGAAGACGTCATAGAGAAGGTGACATTTAAGAAAAGCCTGGGGGGTGGGGAGTTGGGGAGAGATCGCATGGGGAGAAATGCCAGATATAGGTGAAGGGGAGGAAGGCAGCAAATCACACTGCCATGTGTGTACCTATACAACAATCTTGCATGTTCTTCACATGTACCCCAAAACCTAAAATGCAAAAAAAAAAAAAAAAAAAAAAAGCCTATCTGGAGCTTGCAGCAAGTCAAGAATGTGCCATTGCACTCCAGCCTGGGCGACAGAGTGACACGCTGTTTCAAAAAAAAAAGGCCGGGCGCGGTGGCTCAAGCCTGTAATCCCAGCACTTTGGGAGGCCGAGGTGGGTGGATCACGAGGTCAAGAGATCTAGACCATCCTGGGCAACACGGTGAAACCCTGTCTCTACTAAACATAGAAAAAATTAGCTGGGCATGGTGGCGCATGCCTGTAATCCCAGCTACTCGGGAGGCTGAGGCAGGAGAATTGCCTGAACCCAGGAGGCGGAGGTTGCGGTGAGCTGAGAACGCGCCATTGCACTCCAGACTGGGTAACGAGCGAAACTCCGTCTTAAAAAAAAAAAAAATTGGATGTGACAGTGATCTGGCTGAGACATCCATCATCCCATTGATCACCAGGGTTGATTCGGCTAATCTGACTGACGAGGCAGATGTCCCCTTCCTCCCTCACTGCTCCACAGGTGTCCGTCCCGAAGCTGTGCGCTTGGTC